CGCAAACATAAGCCAGAAGGTATACTGGGTTAAATTATCAGATTTCAAATTTGCAATAACGTTCTTTTGCTCTACTGACCCAACAAAAGACAGCAATGAAATGCTTTGGCATGAGGGTGCTTGAACTCCCATAAGCTCAAATTTACCAATAATCTAAGAAAACAATTCTAATCAGATAAATTCACCATTTGCAAAGCTTCACATCAAAATCAACAATGTTCGTCTTTACTATGAAACAACACAGGACCTAGGAATGGGAGTAGGGCAATCAATCCCTTAAGCCTGCCGTGCCAATCTGTAAGACTACAGCTGATCTGCCCCAGTCCTCAGCTCTTTTGTGCCAGCTCCTCATAGCCCTAAACTCCTTGATATTTCAACAAAATATTTTACTGCTTCATTCAGCGATCTAGTCTCCACAATTCTGTGGGGTACAAAACTCCAGCATCCACCATCCTCTGGGAGAATAAATTTCTTTACATTTCAGCTTTAAATGAAGATCCCCTTATTCTATGATCATGCTTCCTAATTTGAGATTCTCCAACGCGTAAAACCATCTTCTCAACAACTCCCCCTGTCAAGCTCCCTCAAAATTTTTCAATAAGAACGCTCCTCATTCTTCTAAATACTAATGAATAAAGGCCTAAGCTGTTTAGCCTCCCCTCCATCCGAAGAATCAGTATAGTGAATGTCTTTTCAAGTGTCTCCCATATAAGTATATCCTTTCTTAAAAATGGGGACCAAAACTGTACTAGGAAAAAAGCCTTTAAGTGGCTTTGCCAGCAATATATTATTATGGATACGTCCATTTTATGTTTCAACTTTGGTGTTCGGTCCTTGCTGAAAGTTTCATTTGCCAATTTCCATTCACAAGTAGTATAGGGAGTTTAAGTAGCATAATGCAATCATCAGATCCTTTGTATAAACTAAGAGTTTAAAAAATGGATTACTACATTGCAGAAATGTGCATATTACATTCAGAGAAATAATGAATAAAATTACAATAGCTGAAGAGCTATTCATGTTAAACATGCCTTCCTAAACTAGATCCAATGTCCTGCAGGTCACAGCACATCAAGTAGGCATTTAGGTACTTTTTTAAACTAAACAAGTTGAAGTGCCACACAGTGTCAAAACAAGAAATGTGCTCACTTTTAGAAATGATTCAAGTTTTCTGAAGTACACCACCTACTGCTTTTTTGCTGGGATGAATATGATCTCTCAACAAAGTACCTCCAAAGCTCAGGTACTACAAAAACCACAAAGTAGAATCATAATCTGGAGTAGAAAGGTCAGACATATAAATCACTGATCTGAAATTTAGCAAAGAAATTACAATCAGCCTTAATGCCAAGAGGGAAATAATATAAAAGAGCTTCCAATCTTGATTACCACCAATATAATTCTAAGTTTTATGTTAATTTTTAGCATTAATTTTTGTTATAAACATCACAGTTCCAGGTTAAAATCCACATATTAATCAAGATTAAAGGTAAATATGATAATTTATCTAGAACTGGTCTGTGATACAATGGGTTCCAAAATCAAAATAGACCTCAATTCATGCTGTCCACCAGTATGGGAAGATGCTACAGTCCAACAATGTTTGTAAAGAATCATACATTGATTCAAAAGACAAGACATAGAAAAAACACTCTTGAAGAAAACAGAAAAACAACCATGCATGAGCATATACAATGCAATCATGGCCTATTTTAATTTTAATCACAATTTCTTCAACATGGCCAAGATAAGTGGCAGGAAAAGTAATCTCGCACAGGTCGGCTACCTGACATTTCCTCGAACCGTTTGGAATACAACTTAAGAGATTCAGCAATAATCCAAACTTCTGCTGCTTGACTTTTATTCTTTGTAAAATGATAAGTGGAGGTGTTTAATGTCCAAAAGGTAGATAAATACTGTTTGACAATTGCAAAATGCGCGAGGAGAGAGATGCACATTTTGGAAATGGAGTATTTTTGCCATTTGAGAAAATAGGTGAAATAAATTAATTAAGTACAAGCTCCACAAAATGTGCCATTAACCCATCATTCAATGGCAAACTGTTATCATACACAATGCAAATTTTTCCACTTCAACATCCTGTGTGTGGCCTTTTGAAGTATGGGTCACACTATGGAGAGCTTGGGTCAATTATTATGAAAAATGGGCTGGAAACTGCTCATATTAATGTAGTACATGACTTTTACTACCAAAAAATAGACAACTTGTAGATCCCACTTGCTGTTGATGTTACATCCCCGAAATAAAATTACAGCTTACAAACCAACTGTCCTAGTTCTCCATGATCCAACAGTTTCTGTTATTTTGATCCATTGCAACAGGAGGATTCACAGTAAACCATACTTGTAAGATTAGCTCACTCAATTTAGATGAGATCATCTGAAGGTGCAGTAAAATAAACAGAAGCATAAATAATGGAGGAACAGACCTCAGTAATGTCTTGTGTTAACAACTTAAGACTGCGATGCAAAAAAATCATGACATATAATTTAGCGTAACAATTTCTTAAATTCATAAGAAAAAAGGAGATGGAATCTGTGACCAAGTTGAGTAAGACAAGAGTTATTGAGTATCACATTAAATTTAGTTGAGAAAATTCAAAAAATACCGGGCTAATAAGAGGAAAACCTCCAGACAGAGCACGGTATAAAATTGACACAGCAGCCATGGTACAATTGAAGAACAGGAGAGAAGGTATCAAATTTCTTGCTTTTTATTTAGAAAGTAGAAATTCCTTACGCGCTATACCAGGAGATTTAACTGTTGAACTAAGCTTGTTGTACTTAGTGCGTCAGCAATACAATTCTTCCAAAAGCATAATCTTTAATCATATTGCAGACCTTACATCTTTGCCAAAGAAAAGGAATATACCAACAGAAATCTACTATTTTTTGCAGCATTTTCTTTTCTGTAAAACACTTTCTCACTTATCAATACCACTTTTTTCAAACAGCCCTTAAGCCTCCAACACATCTGTTCTTCATTGTTCTACATGGGACATTCATTAACTTACAGCATCTTCTCTAGAAACAATATTAATTCCTCCAACTAAAATGGATCAATAGGTGTAGAAAGAAACCAATGAATTTGTATAATATAAATATACTTCATTTTTGATAGTTTTCAAATATTTATCAACATTAATTTATGTAATAATAAAACAGAAAAATAATTCAATGAACTTGCTTCCTTTGAAAGTTTCTTCTTTCTGCATCACTCATCATCACTGACTAAAGATGAATTATATTATTAAGCGGCTTCAAGCAATATACAATTAACACACGAATACATTGTTCAGTTTCCTACACAAGCTTTTATTCTTCACTTAACAAATACTGTATATTCCAATCAAATATAATTTTGTTAAGTAAACTGCTTCCAAACATTTCTGAAAACCGAGACACAATAGTCAAGAAGCTAATTAAGGAAGAGTTCCTTTGATTGTGATCTACACTAACTATTCACATCTGGAAAATAAGATCCTGAACTCTAAGTGCTGACTTTGCTCATTATACTACCTCAAATTCCCACAGCACTGTTTTGTTACTTTTACAAGGTTTTTTCACAAACCCAAAAACAAAAACTATGCTATATAAATAAGCATTAAAGCTCTGGCATAACGTGTATTATAAAGGGCAATTACCTTCCTTCTGACCCATTTCAGTAGATGCCATTCCTTATCACGAAATGCTTCCCACTCATAAATCTACGAGAAATATTTCCTTAATTTTTTTTATGGGAAGGGATGTGCAGGGAGGTAGTCAGTGACTTGCTGGAGGGAAAATAGGAACAGCAGGCAGCAAGCCATTGAGAAAAATGGCTATGTGGTAAATCCGCTTTTGGAACATCACTCATCTGTATTGGCTTTGATCTTTTGACAAACACAGACAACAGTTCAGAGCAGTATATTTTATTGCACTGACTGAACAAACCACAACAGATTTCACAAACCAAGCCTGTTTTTGTCGTAGTTAAAGTTCAGTAGTTATTTTAGTGAAAACGATGTTTAATTCTTGTTGATTATTTCTTTTGAATTGGCCATAAGTAATCACCATCATAACTGGTCCAAAGTAAAAATGGGGTATCTGCAACAAGCAAATCACAGACGGCGTCTTCTGCCAATCTGCCTACTATTAGATTCTGGAAGTAGCATTGCTGTACAATTACAGCCAGCAATTTCCACCAGTAATCATCTCTACACAGGTGCGAGATGCTTTCAGCATAAGGAATCTGTCTCATTACCTGAGACAGACAAATATATATCTTTCATATCCATGCACTAGTTCGAAGACCAGGACAAAGGTATTGCAAGAACACAGCCCGAAATATATCAATTAAGGCCAGGTAGCAATATATCCTCATATGTAGGTTAAAATCATGTGAATTCTGAACACTGAAGAGCAGAAAGATAGATTAATACATATTCACTTATTTAATACTATTCTTTTTGTTGGTAGGCCGCTTACCACACAATTTGTGTACTATACTCTAAACTATAGCAATTACTTTTCATTATTTCAAGCAAGCATGCAATTAAGAAATATTCTGTGGTCCTACACATTTCTATAGTTTTCATTTACTTTAATCATAATTAGATAATCTCTCCAGATGCACATTCTAAATATTCATACATTCAGACACAAATGAATAAATTATGTAGATGAGAGTACTTTTATTCTTCATTATTCTGCATTCCTTTATTGGAAAAGTGAAAGAAGAAACTTCATGAAATTAATGGACCAGAAAATAATACGATTCTTACTTAAGTAAGTCAGTACAATACACTTGCAGTGATACACATTTATCAGACCTTTTAAAAATTATTTGAGATATCGTACGCCAAAAAACAAAGTACAATTCAAAATTCTACACAAGGAACATTTGTGATTAGGTTTTACAAAGACCAATAACCAGATTCTGAGACAATTTTTTTCTGAAATTCCAATTTCCCCTACATAAACCATCTGTAAAAAACTCACCATTTATTCTTCTTTCTGATGTAGTCTTTCTCAGACAGGTTAACCAAATAAATCATTGGTTTTGATGTCAAAAGTAAATGTTTATTCAAAACATCAATCTGAGAAAGAATGCAAAAGATCAACATTAGAGCAAAAATTGCACGTAGCCCGTGTTTTTTTTCCCAAAAATTGGCAGAAACCAAAATGCGTTTCAATTTAAGCAGCTTTAACCTCACCCCACAGAAACAGGACCCATCTCAAACAATGAAGATACTGAATGGCTCCCTCTGACCCAAAGAAAAATGCTGAATTATGCAACAGTCTTTACAACCTAATTACAAGATTTCTACAAGGTAAAGTGACATCTAACACAGATTAAAGAAACAAAAGCAACAGATATTAATACATCCAACCGCACATCAAAGTCTTACCTCTTTGTCATTCCAGTCATGATAGAAGCGTACATGTTTCTTTTCATCGATAACCCAATTCTTGACTTTGCACATTATGTCCTGTAAGGGGTCAAGAGAAAAGCAGGGGCATTACAATACATTAAAAGGTAAATCAACACAACAGGAACTCGATAATTATTCAAGCTGTTAAAAAGCAGCCAAGTGCAATTCATTTCACAACAGAAATTTTATGGGAATGGGAAAAACACAACTTACAGCTAATGTTAATTTTTTGATTATATAAACATTATATTACATGCTCCTTACCCTGAAATATGCAATTGGTCCCTTAATACTGATTGTACAAGAAAGCCACACAGGAACCAGAAAAAAGGGCGAGGATAGTAAAGTAAGAAGTTTATTTTAAATAAAATATATTACATATTTATCTAACCTTACAAATGAGTCAAAAGAGTCCAAAGCTTCTCTTCTATTTTTGTGTTTTTGCCAACACCTCCCCCTTCCAAAAAATGAAGAGGGTGAAAAACTGCTTCAATTCCACAATAGTAACAGAATCATGCTGGTGACCTCCAACCAGCTGCATTCAGTTTCAGAACATCTTTCTCAACAGGAATTCTAAAGGGTTTCTAGTCATCAAGCTTGTGTGCATTCAGAAGGAGCAACTGCAGGAAGAGACAACTTGCTTTGTTTCTCTGTCTTTTCCTTAAAGAAAGATTAATCATCTGTGAAATGGAAACGGCAAACAGCAAGTGACACAAACTGAACCCTTCAAGCCTTTCCTTATCCATTTCATTGCTCTGAATCAGGAGCTGCGTGTGGCATGATTCTCTTCACAGGCAGGTGTTAATAAAAGGCACACCAGCCCAAAAGGTCAAACTCAATTCTTGCATTTAGAAGGGTGCATGATCTGCTTTCCTTAAACACGTAATTTTAAACGTATAACGGAAAGCCTTTAGCAAAACGATAATACCCAATCTACATCAAACTTAAATTTATGACGGCTAATTTATTAACACATTTTAAGATAAATTCTTGAAGTTGACAACTCTTCGTTAGACGTGGCTTCTCTTACAAAAATATCAGAGAAATTGCACAACAGTGCAATAACAAGTTTCAAAACTATAAAATGTAATTGTAGTTTTCATGAGCCATACCAATATGGAAAGGACAATTATTACATTTCTCAGCATCCAAAAAAAAAGAAACATGGGAAGTCAATCACTTGAATAGCAGGTTTCCAACAAGACTGAGTTGATGCAAAAATTTATTACTATCATTTTATCACAACAAACAAAATCCAATTTGGTTTTAAAAAAACTCCTTTACCATCAGCTAAGATTATGGAGTTAGCAAGACAAAATGTACATCTACAAAACCTAGTAGATCTTCTTTACTCTCTAACTCCCTTTTCACAAGAATTACATACCCGATTCATGAGTTTTTAAGAATTAAAATTTCTACATATTTTTTAACTTAATAACATGACACAAACCAATTATACACGCATAAGAATGTAAAAATGTTGGACATAATGTTTACAAACTATTATTTAAACTTAAAAAAGCTTTCAGGAGATTTCACTTGGCATCTTTACATCAACCTTTGACAAGTGATGTAGCCCATTTTTATTCATTGCCTAAAATTGTCAGCAATTATGTGCGTCACTGGCCACCTGCAAATTCTGAATGCCTGCTCCAGCCATCATTGCAAAAACCAATGTCAGGAGGATTAATCTGAGAAAACACCGAGTCCACTAATGGTTTCAGCAGGTGAAATCACCCAGATGGTTAATACAACAAACAGGCAATAGTTTCGCCAAAACAGATGGCAGACAAAATAATAAAGTCTGTAAAGTTTTGGCCTTTCTAACAAAACAGACACGATCCCCTTGCATTAAAAAAATCATAAATTGGTGTTATTTTTCCGAGCTACGGCATCAAGAATCTCAGCAATGGGTTTAAAGATCTCTGTCACGTTCAAAACATATGAAAAGGCTGTGCAAATACTTCCATTCGTCTAGCGTTCTGACCCTAGGTTAGCTACTGAATGAATTACTCGGTGCTAATGATGTCTACAATTCCTGGCCTCAGACACTTATAATTTATACACCAAAATATCACATTAAACCCAGCCTTTTTATACATTTGTCAGCGAACAGGCCAAGGATAACAAGCAGAAAGTAGACTTTAACATTAAGTTTCAAATATTTCATGAGGTTATGGGAAAAAACAGTTCTTTTAAAAGAATGCTTACATATTCAGGTTTTAGTTTTTTGTCACCTCCTCTTACTGCCACTTTCTCTAGTTTGTCAATAATGGGCGTAATTAGCTCTTCATCCTTTAGTCTCAGTTCTTCATGAATAATTTCAATGTCCCGAACAGGATCTACATTCCCTTCAATGTGAACAATTTCATCATCTTCAAAAGCTCCTGAAAGAAACATTTTGTGAAATTTTAAAATACAATTTCAGTTATTAAAAAGTTAAAGATACTCCATTGAATTGAATCTCTAAATTCCATCTAGACTGTAGTGGCAGAAATTGCTAATAAACTGAAGAAAGCAGTGGTATGTTTGCAGCATATTCAATATCGCCTTTAATTCTGAACTCGCCCATTCTTGTTTCTATGAGAAATTAAGTACAAATTTCAAAATAGCTGAATTCATCTGCCACAGCTCTTCTCAGAATCAATCTATTTTATCATTCGGGCTCCAACGGTGATTAGATAATGAACCACTCAGACACACAATTTACACAGCAGCTAATTTCATCGTCCTGATTCCAGGGTATAGATTTTAGGGGGCCATGAAAAGAGCAGATGACGGCGCATTTGTCATATGTGAGTGACAACTATTCACACAGTTTGAAGAAATGGTACTGGCCCTTATTAGGTACACATGCTATTATCACATATTTAAAGTACAGTTAGGGCCATAATTTTAAATTGCCAACTGGAAACATAAGGGTAAAACAACCAGATATTACTGGAGTATGTGTACTGACTCATGCCCTTCCATGTCATTTTTATTCAGCTTATGCAAAACAAACTGCATGAATGTGATTCCAAAGAGCTGCAACTATAAATTACCACAGTCAAAGAAAGCCATAAAAATCAGGCAACTATCAAGCAATGAAATATCAGTTTAATATAGATTGCAATTGCTGGACAGTTATTCTGAAAAGAATAGACTGTAGAGAACATAAAGGCCACCCTCACAAGTCAAGTATGATGATTCATTACTACAAAAGGTTACTGCATATTATGGATTTTTCTAAGTCAGTTGCAATTGATAAGAGTGGAACATCACCGCCTTATTTTTTTCGGCACTTGATTTTCACTGTTGCAAGTTTTTGAGAATTAGAGTCTAAATCTCCAGTAGAAAATTGCACTTCCCTTAATTAATTAGCTTTAGCAAAACAAGCTTAGTAATTTCATAGGAATACATATATTAACTGTTCATTTTCAGTTTTGTTAGATATGTTGATCAAATGGCTGCAGGCCATGCTCACAAGTGATTACTTTAACGAGCTATTAGAAGGTCACTAGTAAATATGGAAGATAACCATTCAGGGATGTGTAGATTAGGTGGTTTATAGGGGTAAGGGTCTGGGTGGGATGCTCTGAGGTTCAGTGTGGACTTGTTGGGCCGAAGGGCCTGTTTCCACACTGTAGGGATTCTATGATTCTATGATTCTAAATAAGTTGGCTTTCATGAGGAAGTAATTAGGCAGAAAAAAGTTATATTTTATACTGTAGAATACAAATTCAGCATTTACTTCACAACTTTGCCCTATACAATGAAGTACAAATGATTAATTTGCAGAAAATTTGTATTTCTGAATAGAGGCATAACAGTATATTTTCCAGGGCTAATAATTTTCAAGTCTGGGTCATAACACAGCAAGTTTTCATTCAGTAATTTCAGGCTATTTTTGATCATTCCTAATGATAACTGATGTAAAGGTCCTGACCAATATTGCGCTTAAAGCTGAACTTGTAACAAAAAGGACAACAATAAAGAATGCATTTACACAGCCTTCAAAGGACTACTATTAAAAGGTTCAATTGATCTTTAGGTTGTTGATATTCTTATTTTAGAAATAATTCAGTAACATTTCTAGAGACAAAATAAATATTCACATGGGAAAGAAGCAATCTCATTTATCGATGGCTTGTCAAGTGCATCTATGACTATATAAGGTGATTGCTAGAAAGGGCTCTTTGCCTAACATTTCAGAGCATCTACTCTATAGGACCTTTATGCTACAAGCCAGGTGGGAATCAGAGAATGAGCGAAACTGTGTAGAATACTAATACAACCCACTAACAGAGGCAGAAGAAAAAGTTACACCTTAAAGAAGCTGCCACGTACACGTGCCACAAACTGTTCCACATTTAAACTTGACAATGGCATACCACACCCATGCACCTTAAGATCATGCATTGTTTATGACGACCATATTCTAAATGAATACTAGATTATAATGTAGTCAATATTAGATATATATGTAGAAGTAAACTTGGCACTGGAAAAACATTCTAACACAGGCCATAAAGTAGGTGGCCCATAACAACAAGTACTTTTTGCATCTAAGGAAAATTTGAAATAAGATACAGGTTATTGTTACAACACATTGATCCTTCTAAAATGTGCAAATTGTGTCTAGAGAGAAGCAAATGTAACAGTATCGTTTAAGAAAGGAAGGAGGAGCTATGCCAGTTTATTAGTTCTAGGCAGGGTCTTAAAATTAGTGAGATTATAGGAATGCATGTGCTAGTTCATGGTCAGGATAGATTTGCTGAAGGCAAATCACATCTGACAAGTTAAGTTTTTTTTCCTGAGAATATGAACAACTGGATAAAGAGATGTGTCACAGATTTCACAACATGTTGCCAAAGATTTATTAAAGCCAATAAAAAGCATATGTTACATAGGGAAATGTAGTAGAATGGATAAAAAGTTTATCAACAGATAGATAACAAAACAAAAAACAAAATCAAGTTATGATAAATGGATATTGCTCAGCCTGGAAAATAGCTAGAAATATTGTAGTCCGGGGTTAGCATTATGTTCGTTTCAGTTGATTTAGATTTAGGCATGAGAATAAAGTCTAAAATTTACTGCTAATTCAAAATAGTTTAGCAAGCAATAAAGAAGACTGTGACATCTGATAGGAACATTGTAACATATTGTCAGGAAGAGTAGATAAATGAAAAAGATTCAAATGCAATGGAGAGATCTGAGAAGTAATACAGACCAAACAAACCCTTAAAGAAAAGGTACTTAAGAGTTAGATCACCATAGATATTCCAGGGATTCAAATATTTAATGCATTGGAAAAGTAGCTAGAGATAGTTGATATCTTTTAAAAAAAACTGGATAATATCCTGCATTTGATAAATAGGGAGACATTGTGACATTTATACAAAACATGGCAAGAGTTACAGTCAGGAGTACTTTACAATTCTTAGCACACTAATGTAGAAAGGTCATTAAAGAAAGTATGATTTACATTTTTCAGAATAATATCTGGGATTGGAAAACCAAGACTGCTATTTTCAGTGGTGAACATTTAATAATATTTCTAAAACTATAAATATTTTAGTTAGTACAACAGGAAAATACTTCTGTGAAATCAACGACAAGAGGCTTTTATTAAAATTAGCAGTTGCTTTCTTTGTTATGCTTTGCACACTGCTAACCAAAATATCAGATTTTTCAGAGAATGAAATGCTTTAGCAAAGATCGGAGAGTCAAAGCACAGATCACATTATCATTTAAGCAAATATTTGGAGGAGAAAGGTGTAAAGGCAATGTGGATGGTGAGGGAGAACATTAACATCGAAAGATAAATTAAAACTCCCAGGTATTGTCTGAAAGAATAACACCACAAGGTTTCCTGTTTTAAATCACATCTTTTACTGTGTAAGAATTAAACAAAGCAAATACTAATTTACAATAAAATATTCATTCCTTAAACCTAAAATCTCAATGGGTCACTCCCCATTCCATTTTATCCACAACAGAATTATCTTGTACTTCCCTGGAATCTTAAGGCTTCTTCACTTCTCCTGGGAGCAAACTGGACGTGCAAAGCTCTCTGGCATTTACTTTGAGTCTCCTGCGTTTCTGCTATTCTTTGAAGCGAGATTTCTTGGGGTCCTTCCATCAGCATTTGGCCAGGTAACCCTCCATCTCTCCTTAAGCACCTAAATGATTGCAGACACCCGTGTACAAGCAAGGCCTTCACTGCCTTTTTGCTTATTGGTCTGTAACTCCTAGCAGCTTCCCATCTCTGTCCATTTCCAAGCTGTTTCAGCAGCAGACTTAAACCTCTGTTGCTTGATGGAAAACACACAGAAAAACCCAAAACCAAAAAAAGTACCTCCCCTACAATCTATCTCTGTTGCAATATGGGATGCCTGGAATGTCCAAGGTAGAAATTTCACTTAATTTCTTAACCTTCCAAACATACATTTTGATCAGAAAAGTATATGGATAAGGATTTTTCTGAAGAAGGGACACGACCCGAAACGTGAACATTCCTGCCCCTCTGATGCTGCCTGGCCTGCTGTGTTCCTCCAGCTCTACACTGTGTTAACTCTGGATACTTGAAGACTTTGTTTTGCTTTTAAATTCTTTTCTGAGCTGGGAAATTACATTAAGAATTTGTAGTGAATGGGTAGAGATTGGGGTTGATTACCTGGGCTAATCAGGGAGCCCTGGCTGACAGATATAAACAGGAAATTCAGACTCTCCTCACTCACGGGACTGGCTCTGAGCTGGCTGGTCAGAGTCCATGTACTGTGCACGTGTAAATAAAGGATGACTTGGTGACAGGATACCTGCCTCTGTGCAGTTATTTCAGAATTTAAACCACCTATAAAAGCAATTCTAGACCCCTCTTCTCCACCAAGGAATTCAAAGAGAGTTTAATTTTTTCTATTTCCCACTCAGATCATATTAACTGAACACAGCCCAACTTCTGAATTGTCATTAACTTAGGCCTGTCTATCATACTTTCACAGTCAGGATACTTCCCCATTCATCATGTATTTAAAATTCAATTCTCAAGCTAATTAAAAGTTATACTTCTAAAACATACGAAACCTGAAGTTAGACATTTTTACAACAACACTGGAATACGCCTTATATCAACCAACATAAAAGAAAGACAATACATGAATGGTTTTCTGTGTTGTGCGTTCATTCAGGAAGTAACCCACACCCATTTTTGAAGGAGTTCACACAAAAAAAATTGTAAACTACTTGCACAATACATGATAATTTAATTACAAAAAGGATGCAGTACTGGATGGCTGCATGCCTGTTATCAATTACCCCTTTACTTTGAGAAATGCAGTGGTGTGATAATATCAGATACTGTGTCTTGTAGTGTAATTCATGGAAACGAAAATGGTGGCGCATACAAATATGAAACA